ATCGACTACAAAGAAGAGGATGGCCTAATTGCAATCTATGCCCCCTCTGTAAGCAAGTCCAAGAAACGGCGGCTCATCTTCTCTTCCATTGCAGATACACAACAAGAGTTTGCGCTATGGTCAAGGGATGGCTGGGCATGTACGATGTGAACCTTCTACATTGGGGTAAAATGGAGTCTGTTAAAGAGTGGTGGAGCCTTAATGCAACCAACAGGACGCAATTCCGGCGACCACTCATCTCTGTAATGCTTCTCATCTCATGGGAAATATGGAAGGAACACAATACAAGGGTCTTCCGCAACGTTGCGGTGCCGGTCGGAGTAATCGTAGCTAAGATTAAAGAGGAATGCATTTTATGGGGTCTCGCTGGGGCGAAGCATCTGCGTATTCTAATGCCGCGAGAGTGGTGTTTTGTAATTCGGCTGCTGGCCACAACCTCTAAACCTTCTTTCTTATTCAATGAAAACGGCAAATCTTTTGCCTTGTTTCAAAAAAAATGATGTGCCCTAGACAAACCTAAGAAGTACTACATCACCCATTGCGCAGAGGTAAAAGCATCCAAATCGACCACGACAATCATCAGGACGGATTGGAGAGTCTGCATCAGAAATCGGCAAGAGCCATGTCACGGACAAAGATGTGGAAAGATGAACCGCCGGACCTTGTGAACCACAGAAGAATACCCACAGGAACATGACAGACTCCTACCAATGTTGAGCTGCTCAGAGCTCATCCTAAACATGTTGGACCGCAACTCCCTGCCACTGCGCCAGCACAAGTTCACAGTAAAGAAATGGCTCGAGGAAATGTGCCATCTACTCTAGTTTGTCAAAAAAAAAGTACTCAAAATGCAATTACCAACAACCAAATATTATCGGCTGCGCCATTTTTCAGCTGGTCATGTAAATATCTTGTTACAGAACCTGCACGCATGTGTGAAGTTTCGTCACATGTGATGTGAGGAATAATCAGCCACACAATTTGCAATCAATCCCTGAAACATATGCGGCCTAGAGAAATCAGAATCAACAGATATAATCACGGCATCGCCATCTACCCGTCCAGCATGGTACCGAAGTTCATGGTTCATCTGGAGAAATTCCCAGGTTGGCGTGCTGATCTTGAGTTCTTGACAGGTTCCATCTGAAATTCCCACACGGCATACCCTTTGGCGTCGTGAAATCCATGTTAAGCACGACACTGCTTGGCCCTGGCCCCCCTTACATCTATGTTTCCTACAGTAGAACTATTGGGACATTGGGGTCCTTCTCATTGGCTTCAGCAGATTTCTTATTGCCTCGCTTCTTCTGCTTGTTCTTGAACCTGAATTGCTCTTTCTTGTTCTTCTCCCAACTTTTCTTGTGCTTCTTGTAAATGAACATTGCTGCGCGAGCATCCTCAATCTATACAGTTACCAAAATCACCATGCAAACTAGTTATGGACACAACATGAGCATGAAAGTGCTATGAATTTTCAGTCTACTAGCAAATGGCCATGTCAACGAGTGGTAAGCTATGGATCATCAACTCAAGAACAAATCACATAGTTGATAAACAAGACAAATTTCACTATAAGCCCCTGGTCTATTTGCGTTTGTATAATCAAGCACTCAACATTAAATGTTGTTTAGTGAGCTCCTGAATCATTCTAGTTCAACTTAACACAATTTGTTGGCGCGACACTGATTTATTAGTCATTGAAGCAAAAAAGGATTGGAATGGGCTAAAATAAACCAAAATACACTGTTGAGGGGCTCAAAACTGAACTTGAGGCTTAAACACCATATAAAAATACATTATGAATACAGTATCACACATACCGGGCAGTGCTCTTGCTGTTGTATCTTAACAGAAAGTTCTTGAGCAGCAAGATCTTTCAACGATCTCCGCTTGCCCTCCCTAAATTGAAACACGTGTCACTACAGTGCTAAGCAATCTTAGTAAGAGTAGATATTTAGAAGACCATCTAACCGTCGGAAAACCTCATATTCTGAGGTGTCTCTTATGTCCTTTTTTGGGTGACCTAGTAGCAGGACCTGGGAAAGATTGTACCACATTAGACAAGATAACAAAGTGCTTCACGAATGGGGTTAAGATCCGTGACAACCTTAAGATCATGGTGTAAGGCATGTCCAACAAGAACCCTTCCTGTGATAAGCTCAGCTATATCCTTCTGAACGATCGAGAAATCTTTGGCTGTAGTATCATAAAATGGTGTTGCATGACCCATACAAATAGCAAACCTCAACAGAAAAATATAATAACATATAGTGCTAATATACTAATGACATTACCTTTATTCATGTGCTTAGGTCTAATCCCACTAATATGGGTACGGTAGTCCACAATTCGCTCCATTGGTCGCACATATTCATCATATACAACGTTGCCAAAGGAATTAACCTAACAGAAAGCAGAATAACATTATAGGGTACGAATATACTAAGAAAAGTATTTCAGCATATGAACTCCAATACATAGACCTCCCTCTCTTCATCGTCCCTCCAATACACACTGTACTCTACATCTACTTTGTCCACCACCGCCGACACATGCCACCGGAACCCTACACCAGGTGCTCCCCACCACCGCCATTTGGTCCCCGCTGATAATGACGAGTGCAACTGCATCAACATGTACCACACACATGACCCACCCCTCTTTTCCCACTCACACGACCCACCTTTCTCCACTCTCGTGTAACCCAGCTGGGTACCTCACTGCTCCCCTCTCTCCACGACACGTGGATCTCGCCGGGCTGGAGCCAGGCTCCAATGACGCCACTACCAAACCATGGCTAGGCTCACACGTTCCACCGCTGTCAGGGAGGGATCCTCACTGCTCCCCTTTCTCTACGGCACGTGGATCTCGCCAGGCTGGAGCCAGGCTCCAATGACGCCACAACCGAACCATCCCTAGGCTCACACGTGCCACCGCTGTCAGGGAGGGACCTCATTGCTCCCTTCTCTCCATGACACGTGGATCTCGCTCGACTGGAGCCGGGCCCCAACAACGACACCGTTGAACCGCGGCTAGACTCCCACATGGCACCGCCATCGAGGAGGGCTCCTCACGTGGCCTTTATCAGGGAAATCCTCCACGCCGTTTCTATCCCCCCGCCCCCCACCCACACACGCAAACACATCCCAAATACATGGGTCTCACCAGACGGGAGAATGCTCCAACAACGCCAGCAGCAAACTGCAGCTATAGCCTATATGTACAATGCTACTAAGTTACTTTGCACCTACGGTTTTGCTACGTCGTTATATTTCGAACTTGTGTTTGGTATACAAATATTACCTTCATATTGGTTCACTACGCAAAAGTTGGCATAAGAAAAATAAGATATGAATCATAAAAGCACAAAATCACATTTATATGTATATTTTATGCTGTGCTTTTATGTTCGTAATTTTACGTCATGTAAAAAATTACGGCCGATATATATTTTCGTATGTTCTTATTTACTTCGATGTAAGACAACATTTATGGAACGTAAAAATATGGTGTGGTGGTGTAAAAATAGGTATTCTACACCCTAGGTGATCGTTTGGGTCAAGAGATATTTCTTTTCTCAATATGAATGTTTTTTATCCAGATGGTAATGGATCATGTTTGTGGTGGTGGATACAAAATGTTGAGTACTACAATCTTTTCTTCATGTCTCTGTTCTCTCTCCTTCCTAGAAATGGCTGCATAGGCCACGCTCGCCCCTCTCCCTTCTTAATTTCATGATGTATTCGGATAAGGCGGGGGTATATGTGGGATTCAGACGAGCTTTCCCTGGGATTTGCTCCGATGGAACTGCTTGGCGGGGGTTGTTACTGTTCTAGAGTGTTAACCCTCCACAGACATTGGAAGGAAGGGTAATGATGGACGACAGGGTCATAACAGAAGAAAGGAAGAGTATGTGTCAGTGGTTAGTTCCACGTAACCAGGGTTTGAGCTTCACCGGAGAAAAATGAACTTAACGAATTACTCTTAGCAGTAACTAACTGCAGGTGTTTTAAATATATGTAGTGGAATATTAGGATTGCTACTGCTAACTGCATATGCTTCTGAGTCTGTAGGAAAAAGTAGTGTACAAACATTCCTAAAATGTTATGGATTCATTTATAAGTTTGACCATCTATAAAGAAAGAATTAGTAACATCACAAATATCAAACTGATATTAGGGCCTTTTGGTCGCAGGATTTTAAAAGAACAGAAACAGGAAAAACATAGGAATTGGATCATGACATGTTGAATCATACAGGAACTGAAGACACAGGAATGTGTAACTGATGTTGTTTGGTTATGCCACAGGAAACAACATAGGATTTTTTTCCTGAATGGTTAATCACATGACGTATTTGTCACTAAAATAAAGAGATGTTTCCATTAGGTTGGACCCATATGGATTCCAATTCGACAAAGCAAACAAGCCCAATGAGAAAAACTCCTACAGAATGGAATCCTCTAGAATTCCTATGAACTTCGATGGAAGCAAAGAGGCACTTACTAGATTTATCATGATGAAATGCAGTTCTATAATGTAATAATGGTTTTATTTCAGACACTAGAAACTGATGGTCAAAGCACTGTCTTGAAGACTGTCATGTCGTAACAGACTTGCATTTTGGATTTGAGGAAGCAATCACCACAAAATTTTAGAGGCATCAAACACTAATTGCTAGACATAACACCAAGAGTATACCATTGTATAATATGTTTTCTTATTGTCATCTTTAGTTGACATGGATGACCACTATATACCTACCCTAACACATGATGTAACAATCACGATACATTATTGCTAGAAGGAACGTAAGCTAATTAAGAGTTATTTAAATTAATAATACCCAAATATTGTAGTACTGGTTACTCCTTCGAAATTCAAGCTTACAACATCTTCTTGCAGCCAAATAAAGCAACCAACTTCTAAACATACTAATGTGGCATCAATCTGATTTATGAAGTTGCCAAAAGCACCTTCTAGCCCGAAAGTTCCAGACATCGCATAGCTACAAAGCTCTGGTTATGGGTTCCCTTTTGCATATGGCAACCCCACTACCTTTGGCGGCATCAATAATTTGGAACTTAATCCGGAAGTCATATTTTGACCCAGACGCTTTTGGGATGCTTCTAATAACCAACTAACTGCAGTGCTCTTGCTTGTTTAGATCCTAGGCCACACACAACTTGATAAGCCCTTCGAAGAAAATGTCATTCCGCACAAAATGCAAAACATTACACATGCAGTTATCTCAACTCTCAAGATTGCGCAGCTCCTCGAACCTCATTCTTCCCATTCAATCCAACAAGAAATCCCGTACATCCCAAGCGTTTACCATTGGCACGGCATAGTTAGCAATGAAGCATGGCGCTGTACCAAGTAAATACACAAGAAACCAAACAAAAGAAAGTGGTGATTGGTGCTTACCAAGGTGGCCCTGGCGAGGGCGCTCTTGCTGCCACCGGCCCCAACCCCGACCATCTCGCAATCCAGCGCCAACGCCTTCGTCAAGCTGGCCACCACCACCAAATCAAAACCCAAACGTCTCAAAGCGGCATACAAGGGAAGCTAACTGACAGGGCCTGCTCACCTGGTGTCGTCAGAGGTCGGCTCAAGCTTGAAACTCAGCTCCGCCGCCTCCGGGGTAGGAGACGGCTCAGGGGGCGGAGAAGGGGCGGGGCGGTGCTTGCGCTTGCCGAGGAACGTGGATGCAGGGAGCTTGGACTGGAGCTGGGCCCAGTTAGGGTTTAGGGCGGAGGGGGCAGCTGGTTTTGTCTTGGGCTTCCGCTTCGGGGTGCGCTTGGTGTCTCCGGCTGCCGCCGGCGCACCGGAAGACGGCGGCTGAGCCGCCATGGACGATTGCGGCGCGGCAGCGGCTGCTTGGGGTTGGGGGCTCGTTGAAAGGGTTTGGGCTTGTTTGCCTCTTCTTTTGGGTTTTGGACATTTTGACCGACCCGGAGGAAAGATTTGGAATTAAAGGGTCCGAACATTTTTTCAGAAATATACTTTTTTTAAATCAAGAGCTTTATTGATTTAGCATGCTAAACGTTTTCATGATTTAATATGGCCTTTCCTTAAAAAAAGAGCTTTATTGATTTAAGTAGCGGGAGTACATTCCTTCATCACACAAGCCGTGAGGAAGGCTGGAACATAATTTATCCAAAGACATCGTCTCCTAGAGGAATTACAGCGCAAAGATGTGCTAATTTGTTCGCCTCTCTCGGAATGAAAGTTAAGCGAAACTCCTCAAGACAAAGCTCTTGAATTTCTTTCATTGTGGCAGTCTCCGAACGATCAATGTCATGTCTGGAGAATTCCACAACTTCACCAAACTTTAGGCATCAATTTTAACTATCACCTTTCTGTAACACAGATCCAACGCAAACTGGGTACCATCTCAAATTCCAAATGATTCCATTGTCATAGCAGAGAAACAATACTCATACCATATTGCCTGAGCTCGTACTAGTTTCCTTCATGGTCCCGAACGCCTAAGCCAGTGCCTCCCGGATGTGTATCAACATCAAATGTTGCGTCAACATTTATTTTCAGGTAGGAATATCCGGTGGCTTCCATTTGTGTTTCTCTTTTGGAGTTTCCGTCGATTGCTGCTTTCCAGACTCGGTTAGTTCATAAGCTACATGAGTAGTCCATTTCACCGACTGCATCTGCGATCTTGAGCTCTCTCTATGCGTACGTGCATTTCTCTCCGTCCACACAGCCCATGCACCGCAAATAATAACACATGCTTCAGTTTTCTGTACTTTGATTCCCTCCATCATATCCATAGCCCAGGTTTTAGGGTGTAGCTCCGATTCTTTGATGGATGTATTGTTCTTTATCTCCTGCCAGAATAGCTTAGCCCATGTGCACTCAAAGAGGGCATGCCTAATACTCTCTTCTTGCCCGCATGCTTGACAAAAAACAATGCGTTCAATATGTCTAGAACTTAAGACAGCTCGTGAAGGGACAAAACCCTTGATCACTCGCCACTAGAAGTTTTGAACGTTCGGTGGTACTGGGAAGCGCCATAATTTCTTCCAGAATAGTTTGTCCGGTCCGCCTGCACTTGATGTTGCTTCCACATCTCATCGTCGTTCGATCATCAATTTATAGCAGGGTCATACTGAGAAATTTCCAAATCTGTCCGGAAACCATGACCAGAAATCTTCATGTGCTCTGCCCATTGGGATCCTAGATATCATGGATACATCTGGCTCCACGAATTTAGCTTCTAACTTATGCATATCACAGGCACCATTATCTTGATCAACCAGTTCTTCCACCAGGGTTACAATTTTAGTTGGGAGTTTAACCAATGGGCGTTTATCATGAATTTCAGGCACCCACAGATCCTCCCAAATCCTAAGAGAGTTGTCGTCCCCTTCTCTTTTGGTCAACCCTTTCTTTAACGCTTCTTGACCATGCAAGATGGCCCGCCAAGTATGTGAAGCATTTCTTTTATTTCTAGCTTCCATAAAACCACAATCATGAAAATATTTGCCTTTTAGTAACCTTGCACACAATGAGGAGCCTCCACTCCTGCTTAGCGAGCATAGCTTGATTAAAAGTTTGAATATCTCTAAATCTCATGCCCTCCTCGCTCTTCGGGGTGGCTATGTCAATCCACTTCTCCAATGCATTTTCCTCTTCTTTTCATCTCCTCCCCACCAATACCGGGCTAGTACGTGCACATGTTCTTTGACAACCAGAAACAACTCATTGAGAAAGTCGGGATCGCTTGACCAACAGATTTTACCGGTACCTCTCAAACAACACTAGTAAGCATTGTGGACTCCATCCTTTACACAACTTTTTAATTGATGAGACAATTCCTTCAAACAATTCATCCGTGGATCTACCAAGAGCAGTTGGTAATCCAAGGTATTTTTCCGTTAATGCTTCAGTAGCAATACCAAATCCTTCATGCATCCTTGCCTTCATATCCTCATCACAGTACTGAAAAAAATCGTAGATTTTGTTCTGCTAACAATTGGCCTGACCCTTGCCTATATATCTGAAGAATATCATGAATTCTTCTTATGCAAAGAGTAAGTGAGTAATCCAAGGGGTGTGGATACCCACCCTTATGCCTTTGCTCAAGCGCCCTGTACCAACATGTTTAAGTAGGCTTGTTAGTCCTTGAGAGCAAAGTAAGAATAAATAGCGTGAAATGGGATCCCCTTGGCGAAAAACCCCCTGGTAGGTTTGAAAATCTGAGAGAATCTCCCATTCACCTGAACTAAGAAGGACACTGGTTCCACAGGCCATTATCCTGTTAATCCACAGTTGTGCAAAACCCAACTTATGCATTATAGCCCTCAAGTAACTCCACTCTACCCTGTCATATGCTTTCGCCCTATCTAGCTTGACTGCGCAATCTTCAGTCTTACCCTTCTTCCTTCTCAAATAATGCATGCACTCGTAGGTCGTTAGAACATTATCCGAGATGAGCCTCCCAGGCACAAAAGCGCTCTGTTCCTCGGATATTATTTCATCTAAAATTGGACGGTGCCGGAGTGCTAGAAATTTCTAAGTTAACTCGTATAACACATTACATAACGAAATAGGCGAAACTGGGTTAAGTTCTGTGGGTTTTTAATCTTTGGAATAAGGACCAGTACAGTGTTGTTAACCACCTCGGGCATAACCCTCGTTTCAAAGAACTCCCGAATAGCATGAAAGATCGAATTCTTCAAAATGTGCCAATGTTTTATATAGAACCCAATCGTGAAACCATCAAGTAGGTGTCGGGGAACGTAGTAATTTCAAAAAAATTCCTATGCACACGCAAGATCATGGTGATGCATAGCAACAAGAGGGAGAGTGTAATCTACATACCCTTGTAGACCGAAAGCGGAAGCGTTAGAACAACGCGGTTGATGTAGTCGTACGTCTTCACGGCCCGACCAATCAAGCACCGAAACTACGGCACCTCTGAGTTCTAGCACACGTTCAACTCGATGACGTCCCTCGAACTCCGATCCAGCCGAGTGTCGATGGAGAGTTCCGTCAGCACGACGGCGTGGTGACGATCTTGATGTTCTACCGTCGCAGGGCTTCGCCTAAGCACCGCTACAATATTATCGAGGAGGACTATGGTGGAGGTGGGCACCGCACACGGCTAATAGATCTCAAGGATCCATTGTTGTTCTGTCATTGGGGTGCCCCCTGCCCCCGTATATAAAGGAGCAAGGGGGGAGGGGCGGCCGGCCTAGGAGGAGCGCGCCAAGGGGAGTCCTACTCCCACCGGGAGTAGGACTCCCTCCTTCCTTGTTGGAGTAGGAGAAGGGGGAAAGAGGGGGAGAGGAGGAAGGAAAAAGGGGCCGCACCCCTTGTCCAATTCGAACCAGAGGGGGGCTGCGCGCCTCCTTCCTTTTGGCCTCTCTCCTCTGTTCCCGTATGGCCCAATAAGGCCCATATACTCCCCGGCGAATTCCCGTAACTCTCCGGTACTCCGAAAAATACCCGAATCACTCGGAACCTTTCCGAACTCCGAATATAGTCGTCCAATATATCGATCTTTACGTCTTGATCATTTCGAGACTCCTCGTCATGTCCCCGATCTCATCCGGGACTCCGAACTCCTTCGGTACATCAAAACTCATAAACTCATAATATAACTGTCATTGAAACCTTAAGCGTGCGGACCCTACGGGTTCGAGAACAATGTAGACATGACCTAGAACTATTCTCGGTCAATAACCAATAGCGGAACCTGGATGCTCATATTGGCTCCCACATATTCTACGAAGATCTTTATCGGTCAAACCGCATAACAACATACGTTGTTCCCTTTGTCATCGGCATGTTACTTGCCCGAGATTCGATCGTCGGTATCCAATACCTAGTTCAATCTCGTTACCGGCAAGTCTCTTTACTCGTTACGTAATGCGTCATTCCGTAACTAACTCATTAGCTATATTGCTTGCAAGGCTTATAGTGATGTGCATTACCGAGAGGGCCCAGAGATACCTCTCCGACAATCGGAGTGACAAAACCTAATCTCGAAATATGCCAACTCAACATGTACCTTCGGAGACACCTGTAGTACTCCTTTATAATCACCCAATTACGTTGTGACGTTTGGTAGTACCCAAAGTGTTCCTCCGGTAAACGGGAGTTGCATAATCTCATAGTTACAGGAACATGTATAAGTCATGAAGAAAGCAATAGCAATATACTAAACGATCAAGTGCTAGACTAACGGAATGGATCATGTCAATCACATCATTCTCCTAATGATGTGATCCCGTTAATCAAATGACAACTCTTTTGTCCATGGCTAGAAAACATAACCATCTTTGATAAACGAGCTAGTCAAGTAGAGGCATACTAGTAACACTATGTTTGTCTATGTATTCACACATGTATTATGTTTCCGGTTAATACAATTGTAGCATGAATAATAAACATTTATCATGATATAAGGAAATAAATAATAACTTTATTATTGCCTCTAGGGCATATTTCCTTTAGTCTCCCACTTGCACTAGAGTCAATAATCTAGTTCACATCGCGATGTGATTTAACACCAATATTCATATCTGTATATGATTAACACCCATAGTTCACATCGTTATGTTACCAACACCCAAAAGGTTTACTGGAGTCAATAATCTAGTTCACATCGCTTATGTGATTAACACCAAAAGAGTACTAAGGTGTGATCATGTTTTGCTCGTGAGAGAAGCTTAGTCAATGGGTCTGTCATATTCAGAGCCGTATGTATTTTGCAAATATTCTATGTCTACAATGTTCTGCACGGAGCTACTCTAGCTAATTGCTCCCACTTTCAATATGTATCCAGATTGAGACTTAGAGTCATCTGGATTGGTGTAAAAGCTTGTATC